GATTGGAGACAAGATACAAGAGGGGAATAAGGATTCTAGTCAGAAGTTCGAGGCAAGAACTGCAGGTAGCAGTAAAGAAGAAAATAATCCAATTCAGCAAAAAAAAAAGTAAATTAAAACAAGCCTGATTTTGTGAATAAAGGGGAAAAAAGCAAAATTAAAGAATTGAAGCCTGTAACCAAAAGTTAAAAGAAGCGAAAACAAACAAAAACTAAGCTTATGCGAGTAGGATTTTTCTTACAAAAAAGTTTATGCTTAGGATAAGCGGGGGCACAGGCTTATGCCTAGGAACAGCGGGGGCAAATAATTTAACAGGATTTACTGAAACTTATGCTTGGATGAAGCTAGGGCAAATAATTTCGACAGAATTTACTGAAGCTTATGCTTAGGTGAAGTGAGGGCAAATAATTCCAATTGGATTACACAAGAATTGCAAAAAATTCCAAAGTGTTGCCTCTTGCAGCCTGTAACTGTGCACAACAATTATACCTTTGTTTTTTTTGTCTTCAAAATCTCACAGGAGCAAAGGCTGACTTCATTCCCAGGCATTCATTCTACTCTGTTTTTGTTCACTTCATTGGAACTTATTCGCTTTCAGCTTCACCTAAGCATCAGTTTCATAAATGGCGGGTTTTTATGGAAGAGTTTTACCTAAGCATCAATTTCACAAGTAAAGAAGTCTAATGACGGTTTTTGTTGATCAGCTTTACCTAAGCGTCAATTTCATAAAAAGGGAAGTCCCAGGAGCACACTCTTTCACCCATTCCGTTCTTTACCGCTTTCCTCTCTCTTCAAATGTACGTTAGTCAATCGGTAGAGGATCTAAGCCATTTAGTCTTTAAAACAACCTATCCTACCCCCTCCCTCACCCCTGCTCCGGACAAAACCCGCCACTTACCACCCCAACTTCCACCTCCCTCTTTCAAACTGCCGCCATCCGCCGTGGGGCCGCACTACCAGCCGTCGGCAGAAAAAATTTTTTGCGGCTCGTATATGAGACGAGCCGAGCCGAGAGTTACTGTAATTGCCCCGTTTTTATGCAGCGATCTGAGTGTAATTCGGAGAAGGCGAGAGGGGGGGGGGGGGGGGGTTTGGGGGGGGGGGG